TCGATTTTTGTAGCAGGGTCTGATATTGAATGTCTTTTCTTGTTATTTGCACAAATATGAAAATGCATACTTTATGTTTGTAGTACTTGTTCTTGTTCCCGTCCTGTTTACTGTTTGACACTTTAAAATGTACTTCTATACTAAAAATGCCTGTACAAATCAAGATTATTATTTAAATAAAGAAAACATTTTGGAGTAAAAAAAAAATTTGTAATTTTTTTGTTAGAATTTTGTTTTTTTTCTTAAATATCGACCGGTGGACTTGTATATCGCGTATTACTACCGTGAGTTTTGGATCGACATTCCCTAGTATTTACTATATGAATAATGTCATAAATAACATTAAAGCATAGGGTTTTTTAGTTTAAGTAACATACTTTCGCGCCGTCCGGCCGATACATGTCAGGTCATTAAGTGGAGCCTGTCGTCAATTAATCCCGGGGGCCACTTTTTCCCCCCAGTCCGCCCCTGACGCAGTGGGTATCATCACGTGACCACTGAACGCCAACGCCGAGCAGCTGTGTCCCGGAGAGGGCTGTGTGGGTTGGTGACACGCCGGAGGGAGAGCTGTCAGTTCCTCCACTCGCTGCCTCGAGAGCAGCGCTCTCATGCGCTGCCTGAGTTTAATTCCACTCCCAGTAAAAGATGTCTGAAGGGAAGAGACAGTCTCTTCGTTCCAATTTATTATGAAACACCCAGGCTTTGACAGATTCGATACGAGATGTACCGTCTTTTATAAGCGAATTCTTCTCTGGAGCGAGCCAGCAAATAGCAGATCGTCCATGAGGAACACCACACTCTCAAGTCCCTACCTCTGTGTAGTGGCTCGCTAGCCTTCTCTACCGTCAAGGTGTTGCTTTGGACCCGAAAGGGCCTGCGGGGGGGGGGGGGGGACCGAAAGGGCTGCGCGGGGGCCTCCACACGCTGCGTCTCACTCCGACTCATCATGAGGCGTGTACACGCTCAGGGGATGGATGGAGTTGTGTGCAGTGCTGCCCACACGAGGCATTATATAACGGCGCTCATGGGTTTATTATGACCGTGTGCAGGAGGCGTATCTCGGACAAAGGAATGCCGCGAGCTCTGCAGGTTATTATAACACAACTTCCTCAAACTCAACAGCAATAAAACTGAACTCCTCCTCATCGCCTCCAAATCCACCCTCAGCAAAACCCCCAACCTGACACTCACCATCGATGGCACCCCTGTTTCCCCCTCCACCCAGGCACGCAACCTTGGCGTGATATTCGACCCCACCCTCTCCCTCGACCCCCACATCCGCCAAGTTGTAAAAACCTCATTTTTCCACCTCCGCAATATCGCCAAACTCCGTCCCTCTCTCACCCGCCCCGCAGCTGAGCGACTCATTCACGCCTTCATCTCCTCCCGCCTTGACTATTGCAACTCACTCCTCTTCGGCATCAGCACAACATCCCTCAACAGACTCCAGCGTGTCCAGAACGCAGCCGCCAGACTCCTCACCCACACCAAATCATGGCATCACATCACCCCGGTCCTCAAAGAACTCCACTGGCTTCCCGTCTCACACCGCATTCACTACAAACTCCTGGTCCTCATCTATAAAGCCCTCCACCCTCTGGCCCCCCCCTACCTCACTGACCTCCTCATCCTCTACCAACCACCCCAGTCCCTCAGATCCACCTCAGCCGGTTTGCTCTCAATCCCCAAGGCCAAACTCCGGAGCTTCGGGGACAGAGCCTTCTCTGTGGCAGCCCCGAAGCTCTGGAACTCCCTCCCCCAAGACCTCCGTGAGTCTGATTCCCTCACCCTGTTCCAGTCCCGTCTCAAAACCCACCTCTTCAACTCTGCTTATCCTTAAACCCGCCCCTCCCCCCTCTGAACCAACATCCTCCTGACTGCTTTTCTGTTTTTGTTTTGTTTTTGTTTTTGTTTGTGTTTTTGTTCTTGTTTTGTTTGTGGACCTGACTCATAATGTAAAGCGTCTTTGGGTCTAGAAAAGCGCTATATAAATCCCATTTATTATTATTAAAGAGCCCTATTTCATTCACACTTAAGTTGTGTATTTTCCAGCCTGGCCAGAAGGGACCCACCTTACTTAAAGAGCCATTGTTTCTGACTGATGTCACTCATTGTCACTTCACTGAAACTGTATCAGAGACAACAGAGAGGTAGGATTTCCCTTCAGCACAACCAATTCAAGCTGTCAGCCTGGGACATGGAGCTGTCCTGTGACAGCCAAGCGACGCCGGCAGTTTGACTCCAGATGGGGATTCCTGATAAACTCCACTGTTTGGAGGCGCAGGTTGATGGCCTCATTCACTGATATACATAAGCCAAGACTGCTCCCATCACTTTGCTACTTACTATCAGCTGTCTCAGTTCTGTTCAATTTAGTTTGTTTGAACTGATAGGATCTAGTTAAGTACTAGTATGTTGTTGCTCTTAAACTGGGTATAATAGTTACTGAACAAACTTAGTTTGTCTGCATTGATACAAATTTAAAGAATGGTTAAAGAAAACTTGTAGTAGGAACATTTTTTTTTTTATATCTCCAAAAAATACAAAAAAAGACCTGTGGCAGCGATACAGCAACTAATCCGATTTTGTCACAGCTTTAGAGCTGTGCCGGTTTTCCCCACAGTAACAGGAGCTATGTTTGTCTGCAGTGACATGGCGCCATGACACAGTGTAATGGAGTGACTATGTGTGAGAGAGACAGAGAAACAGAGACACTAAGGCCAAGTGGAAGAAGGGAGAAATAACTAAAACATTTTTTCCATCCGATTCTCCGTGTCATGACAGGTCTGTGGTCTGTGGAGAGAAAACAGTTTTATGTTCGCAAAGAGTCATTTACAAAAGCTCAAGTGCTGACCGTGTAACGGAGTGAGACGCATCCAAATGGATATCCAATCAGTTTAGAGAACATCTCTCATTTAGTCTTTGAAATTAGGGAAATATATTCTTGTTAATTTAACCACATTATGACCATGTCCATATTTAAAAGTACTTCTCTGTAGTTTAGTTTTGAATAATGTCATTCTGGAAATGAATTAATGTAATTATATTTATCCAATTTAATTCACTGGCTATGATATCAAGGCCTCTGTATGGATAACAAATCCTAATGAGTTGAAAAAGATATTCAAAAAATAATTGGAATACTCTCTTAAAATATTAAGCCATAAATGCAAATGAAACTCTCAGATGGTCATATATTTCTAATATCTTTCTTTTAAATATACCACTTTATTCTCAGAGACTTTGTTAACGTTTTTTTCTTAAATGTATAAGAAATTCAGATTTCTTTTCTGAATATTACCACCTTCCCCAGTTCAAAATATATATTTTTTTGTAAAATTATGAATAATTCTAATGATTAATATAGCAAATAATAAAAATGTCTTTAACCAACCATTATACATTTGCAAACAGAAAGACTTGGTGTATATACAGTCTTTCTTTCAATGAAGAAGTGCACTCAGGTGAAGAGTGGTGGTACCTTTGCTGACGTCACTGGGGATGCTGCTGATCTCTCCGTTGACCATCTTCTGGTGCAGCTGCTTGATGTTAAAAGGCTCAACAGTGAAGGGCAGAGTCCCGGTCAGCATGGCAAACATACTCACACCTCTGTACACGAGAAAAATTGGAAAAAACAAGGACACCTTTACAAAATGCATACACTGAAATGCATTTCTTTCAAACAGCAAGTAACACCACAGTACTTCTACACTTGAAAGCAGGCCATCACGAGACTTTGTCACTTACACGGACCAGACGTCCACTTTGGGTCCATACTTCCTGTGAGCCAGCAGCTCAGGGGCCGCGTAGGCAGGACTTCCACACTGCGTGTTGAGGAGCTCCAGAGAAAGGGATTCAGTCTTCAGAGAATTACTCAGGCCAAAGTCTGCATGAAACATCATAATTTTAACAGATGCACTAGATAGCTAATACACAGTCAACCATGCTTGTTTGTCCAACACTTTGCATCAGTGCATCAGTACACATACCAACAATCTTTATGTTGTTATGTTCGTCCAGCAGGAAGTTTTCAATCTTTAAATCTCTGCAGAAGAAAAGAAAATAAAGAGCTGTTTAGTCAAATAGGAAAACTGTGGTTCACTGTAGTATTTTCATGAGCCCAGTCCTTAATCCTACAGGAATTTTTAAGGGTATTTCTTTCCCCTTAAAGTACTTAAAAAGACAGACACTATGGTGGTTGTTCAATTTCAGAATTCTGGCAGTGTGTTTTTTGCCGTTTTCCTGATAATTTATAGACTTTAAAATGAGATGAGACCTTCACATTTTATGTTTGAAAGGAAATCTCAAGCTAAATAAAATGTGGGTAGGGCTCAGGATGAACAGTTAATTTGGGGGACTCATTTGTTTTGGACTCCTAAAAACTCAACTCCCACTGACTTACATTTTCAGACCGCTCTTCTTGACGTCCTAGCTCTTCCCTACCACAGTCATCTCTCTGTGTTCACCTGGGAAAGTTGCCTCACCCCCCTAAAAAGGACCCCAGCCTCGCCGCCAATCACATAGCCAGCTCTAAAACTCCCAAGCTAAATGAAAATCTGCGGTTAGGAGAGAGAGAGAGATCCCCTATAAAACACAGCCTGGGAATCAGCCATGTTCCTTTCATCTGCCCTCATCTAACCAACAGACACTCGGGGTCCCGCAAAAATCCAGAAAACACCGCTCACACAACCCGAATAAAGTTCAAAGACAGACGGAGGAAGAAAGAGGGAAAAAGGGCGAAAGCAGACATTGTCATAAAGGAGAAAATGTATGCGGTAAACCTTATGGATGTGGGTGGTAGGAGGTGCATTTATGTGCAAATTTCCATTTATTTCCAGTTTAATCATCTCTGTGGTGGAGAATGTGAGCGCGAGAGTGTGTGTGTGTGTGTGTGTGTGTGTGTGTGTGTGTGTGTGTGTGTGTGTGTGTGTGTGTGTGTGTGTGTGTTCAAAATGAGACTTTTGCCACTTTGACCCTGTGTGTTCCATGTAATAAAAGTTCGTATCGTTAGTGAATTATAGATGTAAAGGGCTCGCAACACAATTGTTTGCGTATATTATTTGATACGCAATAGTCGAAGTACGATTGGGGATACCCTTTAATAATTACGAATTTGCCAATCGTTATGTAGTAACGTTTGATACTTAAGTGGTCGGTTATAAAGGGGTAAATTGTTACATATGGAGTATTATGAGAAGTATTTGTTACAACTTTGTTGTCTCGTATCTTTGTGCATGTCTGTATAAAAAAAGAATCTGTTGTTACGTCTCATCTTTGCACGTAGACTTATGTACATTCTCAAAGACGTATTGATGCCGTTGTGACTTTCATGTTATGTATGAGTTCGTGACATTAATGTCCGATGGACTAATACCTTTTATCCTTTCGGCTTTCACGGAAAAATTGGTAAAGCGGCTATTAAAGCCACCCGGCTTATAAGCCACGGTAGGGGATATTCTATCACTTCGCTGTTTCATGTTATAAACTAAACATCACCTCATATTTCACGTGCTTTTTTTCTTTTAAGAGTTCATGGAGTTGTAAGGAGCTGACGAAGACAGTTTGTACACCTGAAAGTTCTCTTTAGAACTCCTTTAATTCAAGTTCTTTCTAAAAACGTTGGCTGTCTTCGCATAAAAGTTAGAACCACACCAATGAATTCAAGTAGCGTACCTACTACAGGCACTCGCTCTTCCGTTCCGGCAAGTGGAGTAGTGTGTGGACGACTATGGTGCTATCTCTACCTGTGAACCCTCACCACCGCAGTAAGAAAACGACTTGAAGTACCCCCCTGTACCCTCGAAAGTGTGTGTGAGTCGTATCAGGAAAAGCCACTATAGAAACGGAGGTAAGGACAGTTTGTACATTTAATCACAATTGTATTTTATGACATTTGAAAAGACACTTAAATGATTCTGACTAACCAAATCGATCGATTAAATTAAATCATAAATTCATCGGTAACTAAAATGTACAGTAAAAATTCAGTCTCCCCTACCCCATTCGGAAGTTTCCCCGAATAATAGTATACGTGTCATGATGTCACCACCTATACCCCTTAAATATAATTGGAGAATAAACCAATGACCAGTTTCATACTGATGTTAATTCCTTCGAGTCAAATAATTTACAAAGAAACACAAGGGCTTGTCCTTCATTTGGACTTAATTTTGTTAACCCATATGTCCGAAGTTTTGATAGTTAAGAGGACTTTTTGTTGTAAAACTTAGTCTTTAATTTGTAACTTTAACTCATTCAAACTTTTATATTATTTATAATATGTACATTTTAAACTAAGGTTACATGAATAAGATTTACAATTTTTACAAATTGTGTTTAGTTCGTCTTGTAAATGGACCAAGGAGAAATTAGGTCGAGGAGACGTCTTGAGAAGGTCTTCGAGGTAGTCTGCCTCCCGCCGAAGCATATCGAAGTTGGCACCACGACAAATTGTCTTGTACAGTTAATAAATCGCTTGTTGTGTATTGACATTCATGTCTTTCTTAACTTTGTTTCTTTTAACCTTTGTTTAAATATGGAATGAAGTAAAATTGTGCGATGTCTTCCTCCGTGTTGTCAAGTTGAAGTGTCATCAGAAGCACCTAGTGGGGGAGACCGGACCGGCGTAGTGTCTGACGTGTTCTCGCACAGGGTACCGTCACTTACACTGTATGGGAAAAAAATCCTTGACCACGGCGATAGACAGAGTCACATGTGTCCTTTATTATTCGTGTGATACGTGGGGTGTGTGTCAGCTACGTACACTCACTTGACTGAACTGAATGGTTACCATTGTACTTATTATGAACCCTTTTTGTTGAGTGAAAACATCGTCGAATTCGATGTTCAGGCCTGTAGAAAACCGTACGTAGGCTGGTTTGGGTACAAATGACTCGATCACAATGTCGTTCGTTTAGTACTCCGTGTGTGTGTGTGTACTAGTGTTTTGTATGTTCATCAAATGTCCCGTAATTGTCGGATGTTTCCTCCTTTTCGACGTTCCTTCGTCGTGTACCGCGTCACACCACTCGACTTTCACTATAAAGTCACTGTTAAAATCGTACAGAATGCCACATTCTCTGGGTATGAGGGTGTGTTCGTGTTTGTATGTGTGTGATTGTATCAGTGTCACGTTGGTGTTGTGAGGGTGAGCGAGACACGAAACCAAATTCTGGAACCGAGGAGACTTCCACCCTTACAACTAATGGTCCAAGTTAACTGAGAAGTAGGTAGGGACGCGGGCCACGGTACTAAGTGTGTAGTAGTGTTGTAGTACCTGAAGGAGGAGATTACCTTCAGGAATTGCTACCGCGAGGGCTAGGAAGTTTAGTGTGAGAGGAGACAGTGTGTGTGTACGAGAGTGTGTGTGCGTGTTTGTGTGTTTGGTGTGTGTGTGTGTGTGTTGTGTGTGGTGTGTGTGTGGTTGGTGTGTGTGTGTGTTCGTGTGGTGTGTGTGTGTGTGGTGTGTG